TCCCAGCACTTTGGGAGGCCGAGGCAGGCAGATCACGAGGTCAGGAGATCGAGACCATCCTGGCTAACACGGTGAAACCCCTTCTCTACTAAAAACACAAAAATTAGCTGGGTGTGGTGGCAGGCGCCTGGAGTCCTAGCTACTCAGGAGGCTGAGGCAGGAGAATGGCGTGAACCCGGGAGGTGGAGCTGGCAGTGAGCCAAGATCGCGCCACTGCACTCTAGCCTGGGCAACAGAGCAAGACTCCATCTCATTTAAAAAAAAAAAAAAAAAAGACAGTGTTGGGGAGGTAAACAGGGAGGCCAGGGCAGTAAGGTTCCTGGAGGAAATGAGACCTGAAGTGGCCTTGAAGGCTGGAGGCAGGGGGAAATGCTATTTCACAGAAGCAGGGGTCTGTGGCAGTGGGGTTGAGTACTTTAGGGGTGCACACTGAGAAATTGCAGGAAATGCCACCGAAGGAGGAAAGGGTGTTATGAAAAGCCTGAGTTTCTGGCAGTGAGTTTAGATTTCATGTTTAGTAGAAACAGAACTGCTTCGGGATGAGATCTCTTACCTCTGTCCCTTATTCTACGGCTTCCTGCAAGCCTCTTCCTCTCCGCCTTGGGATTCCCATTGGTTCAATGAAGAGATAGGACCAAATGATTTCTAGATGACATTCAAAGGACATCATGTTCCTAGTAGATAATGTTAGGTGTCCAAATATCCACATTCTCCTTTCATCATCAAAAACCTCGAGATGGTACATATGTAGGTTTGTTATATAACAAGAAGATAATCCGGCTGGGCACGGTGGCTCACACCTGTAATCCCAGCACTTTGGGAGGACAAAGCGGGTGGATCACCTGAGGTCAGGAGTTCAAGACCAGCCTGTCCAACATGGTGAAACCCTGTCTCTACTAAAAATACAAAATTAGCTGGGTCGTGGTGGTGCATGCCTATGATCCAACCTCCTCAGGAGGCTGAGGCAGGAGAATCGCTTGAACCAGGAAGGGGAGGCTGCAGTGAGCTGAGATCGTGCCATTACACTCCAGCCTGGGCAACAAGAGCAAAACTCTGTCTCAAAAAAAAAAAAAAAGATTTATAAATTTAAAAAATTTGTAAAAACGAACAGCTTGAGATGGGCACACAGCCACTCAGCAAAGACTTAGGTTGCCTTTGCAGCTAAGTGGGGCCATGAGACTAGGCTTTAGCCAATGGGCTGAGAGTTAAAGTGGTTTTTGCCATTCCGTTTTTAGGAATGGATGTGCCTGCCTATGGCAGATTGTATTTTTCAAAGATGACACAAAAATACTTCCTATCTCATGTGTGTTCTACAGTGGGGTCTGTGTCCCCTCTTCTTGAATGTGAGTGCACTTGTGACTGCTTTGACCAACGGAATATGGGATATGGTGCTATGTGACTTCTGAGGCTGGGTCACAAAAAATGGTTGTCATGAGTTAAATTGTGTTCCTCCTGAAATTCATATGTTGAAGTCCTAACTCCCAGTACTTCAGAATGTGACCTTATTTAGAAAAGGGGTCATTGCAGATATAATTAGTTAAGATGAGGTTGCCAGGCGCGCGGTGGCTCACGCCTGAAATCCCAGCACTTTGAGAGGCCAAGGCGGGCGGATCACAAGGTCAGGAGTTTGAGACCACCCTGGCCGACATAGTGAAAGCCCATCTCTACTAAAAATACAAAAATTAGCTGAGTGTGGTGGCGCATGTCTGTAGTCTCAGCTACTCCGGAGCCTGAGGCAGGAGAATCGCTTGAACCTGCGAGGCGGAAGTTGTGGTGAGCCTAGATCACACCACTGCACTCCGGCCTGGGCAACAGAGCGAGACTCCATCTCAAAAAAAAAAAAAAAAAAAAAGATGAGGTCATACTATAGTATGTGAGCCCCTAATCCTGTAGGACTGTTCTCCTTTGAAAAGGGGAAATTTGGACACAGAAACAGACATGCAAAGAGGGAAGATGAGGTGAAGAGGCACAGCTCAGACACCCATCTTCAAGACAATGAGAGGGGCCTGGAACAGATCAGAAGGAATTAATCTGTCAACCCCTTCATTTCAGACTGCTAGCCACAAGAACTGTTGCTTAAACCACCCAGTCTGTGATTCTTTGGTATGGCAGCCCTAGCAAACTAAACAGCAATGCCACCTTCATCTGATTCTCTTGAAATACTCTAAGCAGGAGACCAGTTACCATGTAAGTCCAACTACCCCAAGAATATCAGGCTGGAGAGGCCACATGTAGGTACAATGGTCAACATCCCCAGCTGAACTCAACAGCCAGCACCAGCATGCGAATGAGCCTTCTCAGGCATCACCCTGGTGGATCCTTAACTGCAACCGTGCCAACCTCTGGTAGTATCCGCATGTGAGACTCAAAGCAAGAACTGCCAGGAGGAGCACTTCCTGACCCTGACCCACAAAATCCTCAGTGATGTACAATGGTTGTTTGAAGCTGCCAAGTTTTAGGGTAACTTATTATACAACGTAGTAACCAGAGTGCCTATCTTGCCCTTCCCTCCCTTGCCACTGGCCAGAACACAGATGAGGCCATGGTGGGCTGTCTGCAGTCCTGTAAATGACACAGATGAGGGCATAGGGAAGCCACAAATGGGGAGCCCGGGCTCTTGGATGCCCTCATGGAGTACAACTGCCAACTCCCCAGATGCCACTCACATTTCATGCAAGAGAAATAAATTTCCATCTTGTTTAAGCCACTGTTAATTCCACCTGTTTTTTTTTTTAAGCCAAATCAATATCCTAGTAATATGATATATGTAAAACAAACAGCTCAGTGTCTAGCACATAAATAAGTGTTTTTTGTGAAAGGTAATTATTGCTATTCTCATTATTATTATACTAATAATAATTATTAATAATATTATTACCCTAAACTGCTCAACACTCCTCAAAATGAACATGAGGTGGACCCATGTGACTGATGGTCAATGAGACATGTCAAGCTGGACAGAAATTGTCTGTAGTCATGCCTAATTCATACCAGGTCTCTCTTCCAACCGCCTTAAACTGACTATAGCTCTCCCAGGCAGACCAATAGACAGGGGATCAAGGACACCAACACACAGACACATTCTCCCGCTCCCCACCCACACAATGAACCAAAGCTCTGGGCAGCCACTGTGTGCTCCCATCCCACCTGTCCTGTTGCAGGAGAGAAGACAGGAGGCAAAATGGGATGGAAAGTGGGTCTAAGATAATGAGTAGGGGAGAGGGAGTCAAAGAAACTAACTTCATCCCCAAGAAATCAGGCAAGGCTTCCGGGAGGAGGTGACCACTATCCTGAGAGTATCTTCCAGGCTGAAGAGAGGGAAAGGGCTCTGCAAGCAGGGAGAGTGGCCTGGGCAAAGGCGCAGAGCATCAGAATCCACATAGCTGGTGACCTCTACCTGCCTCCTCTGTCTCACCCTTTCAGCTCTACCTCCAGGGAGGCTGGAGGGCAGCACAGGGGAGGGTGGGTGTCAGAGCCCTCTGGCCCCCAAGGGACCTGTGTCCAAGCAGGGACCTTCTCTGCAGCTATGGCACAGTCAGCTTAGAGTCTTCTCTCCTTCCAGAACCATTGAACTGCAAATAGTCCTTAAAAACCCTGATCCGGGCCGGGTGCAGTGGCTCACGCCTGTAATCCCAGCACTTTGGGAAGCCAAGACAGGCAGATCATGAGGTCAGGAGATCGAGACCATCCTGGCCAACATGGTGAAACCCCGTCTCTACTAAAAATACAAAAATTAGCCAGGTATGGTGGCGGGCACCTGTAGTCCCAGCTACTCAGGAGGCTGAGGCAGGAGAATCACTTGGACCCAGAAGGTGGAGTTTGCAGTGAGCCGAGATCGCACCACTGCATTCCAGCCTGGGCAACAAAAGCAAAAACTCTGTCTCAAAACAAAAAGCAAAAACAAAACAAAACAAAAAAACCCTGATCTGCTGCAAGGATGCCCCAGCCTTCCTGTTGTTTTTTCACTCTCTGGGTAACAGGCTTTGATTTCCTCCCTCATCTCCTAGCGCCTTGCTTCAGATTTGGGCAGGTCTTGCCGACCTAGAGTCCCAGGACAGAGCCCACAGGTACAGGAGGCTGTGTCCCAGGAAGGAGACATAGGCCCTTCCTTCCTGAGGCCCCAGGAGGGACACAGGATACAGAGACATAGACAGAACTCTCAGTGAACAGAGCGGAGGCCTTGAGAGCCAGGCAGCCAGAGAAGGCAGGAAGAGTGCAATTGGGCAATCAAGGCAAGCTTCTTGGAGGAAAGGGGCAGGGAAGGATGGATGTCAGGGGAGATCAGTCTGCAGGCAGAGGCTCTGGAATAGGTGCAGAGTGGTGAGGGATTCGAGTTGGATTCCAGTTTAAACATCCACAGAGCCTTTAGGCTTCAGTAGCTAGTCCAGGGGAGGGGGGGCACATGGAGGGTGTCCCTATGGCCTTGTCACTGGGAAAGAACGGTTCATGACTTATCCACTGAGTGTGAATTCAGAGATATGGCGGAGGGCAGTTTCTTAGGGATAGGGCACCCTCCACACTCCCCTTGCTCCTCTACTCAGTGAAAAGGGGACGGTAGAAATGGCCTACCTCTCCGGCCAGCACACATACAGCCATCTCACCCCCACACGGCTCGTCCTCCACAGCCCCATTTTGGATCACACTTCACCTCCAGCCACTCCAGCCCTGGGCGCTAGTAATACAGCTCCTGGGGAAGTTCCCCAGTGTGTTGGTGCCCGACTCGTCCCCCAGCCGTCTTTGGCTTCATGGGGTGGGGGAGGGACAGCCCTGACCCCCCATCTGCTCTCCTAGGCTGCCTAGCAGGCTCCCGTCCACGCTCCCCGCCCTTCTTCCAGAGCTCCATCCACCCCTGCCCCCACTCGACCAGAGTTCCTTCCACAGCAATTCCTGGTCTGGGCGCTGTCCAGCTCCAGGCTGGGTGGTCGAGTCTTCCCTGGGCTCCGAGCAGAGGGAACCCCGCCGCCCGCCCCAGCCTTGTCCTGGGGCGCCTCTATCCAAGTCGGTTTTCTCTTCCCTGACCCCCACGCCTCTACTCTCCACTTCCACTGGACGCCACCTCCACGAAGGAGAAAGGAAAGGAAATACAAAGGCACACATTCCATTTCTGTAGAATTTGCTCTTTATTTTTGGACCACGGAAGGACCACACACAGCCCTCCAGCCCAGGGGGCTGGGGCACCCAGATGCGGGCGGAGGGCCGCACCCGAACCCTGCCCAGACGCCGCCGTCGGGAGGCAGAATCCGGGTTTCTGGGGTAGGGAGTGCTATGCAAATGAGATGGGCGTGGTTGGCAAATCTCCCAGGAGGCCTCAGGGGTCCTCACCACTGGTCTGGGACCTCCGACCTGCGGAAGCGAAGGGGAACGAATTGGATCTCGGGTAGGCGAGCCTGGGAGACGTCGTAAGTGATGTTGCCAGGGTGGGGCCAGGCCGCACTCTCGGAGGCAGGATGTGTGGTGACGGGGGCGCTTTTACCGCGACCTGATGGGGCGGTTCTCGCCGTCGTGGAAGAACGTTTTGGAAAGGAGTGCGTCCGGGCCGTCTCTTTTCCCATACCTGGGGGCGGGGCGGGAAGAGCGTGGTCAAATCTGGCCACGCCCCCAGGTGGAGCAGGGCCACAAAGTGAGAGCCCCAGGGGTCCCGCTCCGCGACTACGCTCACCGCTGCCGGGTGACCAGGTTGAGGTAGTGGCGCAGGGAGGCGTAGTAGCGGCTCAGCTCCTCCGGGGAGGCGTCTTCGCCAGGAGCCTCGGGTTTGATGGGGTAGGCGTCGACCAGTGCCCCCAGGCAGACGAGCAGGGCCAGAATTACTGTGGCCAAGGCGGGCCACGGCCTGCGCACGAGCACCATCTGGGAAGGCGATACTGGGGGGTGGGTCATTCCAAGCCTCGACCCTCCACGGTGGGAGGCTGCGGCTGCCGTCGGGGCCGCGCTCCGACGTTCTTCCTGGGGCTGGTACCGGACCAAGGCTCAGCCACCGGCTTGCTGTATGTTCTCCGGCACTGCACCGTCTCCTGACTCAGTTTCCTCATCTGTGAGAGGGGCATAAGCCCTGCCTGCCTCCCCACCCCCACTCCCGCTGCTGCCCAGAGAGTTAGTTGCTGGCAACGGGACTCCCAGGCCTCCTTCCCACCTCCAATGGCCCCCTCCAATCCAGTTTCCTACCACTCATCCCCAGCTTCCACCACCCATCCTCAGTTTCCCCACAAAACACGCTGGTTTTCCTGGTAGCAGACCATGTTTGAGCCCCCAGCCACTCACAGCGATAGCTTGTGAAGCAGATGAGCAGGAGGTGGAAGGCGTGGAAGTCCCAAGGGCTGCACTGCAGCAGGTCAAGCTGAGGCCTCCTCTGCTCAGCGCTTTCCTTGTGGGGCTTATATCCCCGCCTAGAAAGGGAGGGGGAGTCCTGGGGGAAGGGGGAGCCAGCAGGGGGTGGGCCCTTCTTCCTCCCTCCTTCCACCCTCGCCAGATCACTGAGCTTATACCCAGCCAGTGTGTGATGTCTCCACCTCGCAGGAGCTGAGGGGGCAGCTGCCATGCTCAGATTCGGGGTCTCACTGGATGGGGTACCCAGCCTGAACCCCATATTCACCCCACAGCCCCCCAGTGGCAGGTCTAGTCTCCTGAGGAAGTGAAGCGGTTGGGTCTAGACTCCTGGGGCAGCCCCTAAGACCAGAGTTGAGATTCTAGCTTCCCTAACCTGTCCATGGGTGGGAGTTGGGGGTGGGAGGGTGGACACATTCCCTCCAGTCTGTGGGATCTATGACCACTCTTTCCAAAAGACAACCCTTTTCAGCCTCTGCTCAAAGGGTTTGGAGAAGGGCTGAGGAGTGACAGGACCTCTCGGGGAAAGTCTCCTGGAGACAGGGTGGGAGCACCTGACCTTGGCTCCTGACCTGCAGTTGATGGTGTCTTGGGGGAAAGGCCTCTCTCAACACTCCATTATGTCCTCTCTCTATTAAAGAGTTGGAAGAGAGGCAGGCGGAGGCAGAAGCCAATCCCCCCACCAGAAGCAGCTGAGTTGGCCACCTGTGTATCCAGACTGGCACACACAGACCCCGGTCCAGCCATGTGTGGCATAGAGCCCCCTCCCAAGGCAGAGTGTCTCCACCCCTATGCAGGTGTCATTCAGGGCACTGGTGTCTTCTGGGCCTGAGTGATGCCAAGGCTTCCCAGGCACATGCCACTGTCCCCGGCCCATGGCAGTTTCCACTGGGCTCTAAGCCCAGATCCTCTGAAGGAAAGGACTCATGTTTATTAAGCACCTACTGTGCACCGGGTAGTGCGTCATTTCAGGCATCACAAGACGATGAACTGAGTGTATCTCCATTTTCCAGATGAGCAAACTGAAGTCCTGGGAGGTGATGGAGCAGCCAAGCTCACCCACGATTCAAACAGGAAAAGGAGGGTGAGGCAGACCCCAGGAAGAGGCCCTCTCAATTGTGAGGGGCAGAAAGGCTCAGCACCTGGAGTAGCCATTGGGGCGCCAGAGGCAGGCCTGGGAGCAGGGACCCGAAGACTAAGTCTGGGGCCCACCACCCACTCTGAGAGGCCAAGGAGGGGAAGGGCCTCCAGACTGCCAACCCCCTCAAACCCACCTGCCCAGCAGGAGAAAGGGCTGTGGGAAGGTCTCCCCATAAAGTCCTTCCAGCTTCCTCTCCCTGGCCCATGGGGGCTGACAGGGCCAACTTGTCCAGGCCGTTGGTTCTGAGCCAGCCCCTCCAGCCCCAGGACAGATGGCTGTTGGCGCTATTTTTAGAGCTCTCCTGAGATGGGGAGTTCAGCTCTCTGTCACCCTTTTATGGGTTCAATCACCTGCATTCTCCGGAAATGGCTCCTTATCAGCCAGTCAGGCCCCGTGGGACGCCACGTCCCAGGAAACACCAGGGTGCCCTGCTGAGCATGGGGGTGGAAGATGACACCAGGACAAGGGGACATAGATCCTGCCCTTGGAGGGAGGAGAAAAATCATTCCTTTTAGGAAGTCCTCATCCAGGGGGCAAGGCACACCCCTGTCCTTTAAGAACCCCAGTCTCAAAGGAGAGACATGGCTATGTCATAGGGGAGCCCTAGTCTGAGGGGTTCCCAGAACATAGATACAGAGAGACAGAGACAGCCTTTGTCCTGTTTGGAGGGGAGACAGCGGAAATCAAAGAATTCCATTCCTCCATGGAAAGACAAAAGACAGGCGCTCACCCTAGGATGGAGGGGGCAGTGGGGCTGGTTAGGACATCTGTGATCCCAGGGGTCAGGGCCTAGAGAAGGACCCTGCAGGCTAACAGGGGCAAGGATACCAAACAGTAGGGAGCTATTTGCTCTTCTGATCCTGCGGCACTAACCCTGGTGGTTGTAGGGGGTTTCTAGTGCACCGATCCCAGGCAGAGAGAAGAAGGAACCTGTGAGATGGCCACGGGGAATCTGACATCCCTGGAACCCTGTTATGTCTTGGGGAGTGTGGAGTCCAAGGACAGATGGGAAGAGAGGACAGACACTGTAGAAGCTAGAGGGCATGGGGTGGCCTAAATTCAGGCTACAACCTCTGAAGAAGTCACTTCCTCATTTATAGCCAAAGTAAATGGGCCCCTAGGTGGTCTCAGTGTGGACCAGGAGCCAGCCGCACATCCCTGCAAACCGTCTCTATCCATCATACCCCCACCCTCCAATCTCAGTCCCCAATTACAGGGCAAGCTGATTGGTTCATTAATCACCGCCTCCTCATTGAAGAGCTTATTAACTTGATTAGCGGGGAAGATGTCTCAGCCCTCAGTCAATGGGCTCAGCCACCCCCCCATCCACACACCCGCACCCATCATTGCCGCATGACTCAGTGGCCATGAGACATGTCTGGGGTGTGAGGGGGGAAACTTCAGAAACAATCGTTTTTGTAGAAGTGATCCCAGGTCCCAAGTGAGACCAGGACCTGCCTCCAGTTTGTCTTTGAAGGGTAGGGGACAGAATCAAAGGGGGAGGGGACAGAATCAAAGGGTTCCTTTGGTCCCCATTCTGAGACCACCTGGCAAGGCCACCCCAAGTCAGGGAGACCATGGACCTGGACCCCAGCCAACAATTCTCCTTGTCCAGTGGGCTCAAGGGCCCCTCATCAAGATGGTGTCGCCTCTGCCATTCATCCCCAGAGGCTTAGAATTCTGTTCCCCATCACCCACCTGCCTGTACCCACTCCACACACAAGGCCTCTCTTTGATCACCATGCACTGTGCAGCACTGCTCCACTGCTTTCCACCCTCAGGCATTTCCTCATGCCCAGGGTCCTGCAGACAGCAGGTTGTCATACAGCAAGTGTAATTCAGGCCAGGTGTGGTGGCTCAGCACTTTGGGAGGCCCAGGTGAGTGGATCACGAGGTCAGGAGTTCCAGACCAGCCTGGCCAACATGGTGAAACCCCATCTCTACTAAAAATACAAATATTAGCCAGGTGTCATGGCGCGTGCCTGTAGTCCCAGCTACTCGGGAAGCTGAAGCAGAATTGCTTGAATTCGAGAGGCAGAGGTTGCAGTGAGCCAAGGTCGCGCCACTGCACTCCAGCCTGGGTGACAGAGCGAGACTCTATCTCAGAAAGAAAATAAAAAGAGTAATTCAAATCCTCACACAATAAGCACTTATTAAGTCCCTGCTGTGTGCCAGGCACTGATCTAGGCACTGGGATACAGCAGTGAGCAATGAGCAAACAGGCAAAATCCTTGCTCTCATAGAGCTCACATTCTAGCGACAGGAAATAAAAAATAAATAAGCATGGAGGCTGGGTGCGGTGGCTCACGCCTGTAATCCCAGCACTTTGGGAGGCCGAAGCAGGTGGATCATCTGAGGTTAGGAGTTCAAGACCAGCCTGGTCAACGTGGTGAAACCCTGTCTCTACTAAAACTACAAAAATTAGCCAGGCACGGTGGTGGGCACCTGTAATCCAGCTACTCGGGAGACTGAGGCACAAGGATCACTTGAACCCAAGGGGCAGAGATTGCAGTGAGCCAAGATGGTGCCACTGCACTCCAGCCTTGGTGACAGAGTGAGAATCTGTCTCACATAAATGAATAAATACATAAATAAGCATGAAATATGTCTGGTAAGTGCTATAGAGAAAAATGAGAGCTGGCTGTAGGGGCTCACATCTGTAATCCCAGCGTGCTGGGAGATCAAGGTGGGAGGATCACTTGAGCCCAGGAAGGAAGTGAGGAAGCAAACCATGAAGCTACCTTGGGAAGAGTGGGGCATGGGTTTAGGAAACAGCAATGCCAAGAATGAAGGGATTTTCACTTTTTATGGTAGGAGCTCCCCTAGGAGCCCTCCCTCTTACCTGAAGCTTCTGCAAAACACAGTAACAGATACCTATGGTGTGGTGCGTGCTCAAGGCTCAGGCTTTGCTCTAGAACAGAGGTAGGCAAACTCTGTAAAGGACCAGATAGCAAATATCTTAGGCTATCTTAGGCTTTGTGGTCCATACAGTTTCTATTGACACCGTTAGATTCATCCACTGTAGCTTGAAAGCAGCCATGGAATACACCAAAAAAAAAAAAAAAAAAAACATGGGCATGGTAGCACTTCAGTAAATCTTTACTTACAGATGTTGAAGTTTGAATTTTATGTAATTTTCATGTCATAAAATTTTTTTTAGTTTATTTCAACCGCTTACAGATTCAACCACTTTAAAAGCCATTCTTTTCATCATTATTGAACTCAAGGGATCCTCGGGCCTCAGCCACCCCAAATGCTGAGATTATAGGCGTGAGTCACTGTGCCTGGCCTAAAAGTCTTTTTTTTTTTTCAATTTGAGACAGAGTCTTGCTGTGTCACCCAGACTGGAGTGCAGCAGCATAATCTCAGCTCACTGCAACCTCTGCCTCCCGGGTTCAAGAGATTCTCCTGCCTCAACCTCCTGAGTAGCTGGGATTACAGGCACATGCCACCACGCCTGGCTAATTTTTGTATTTTTAGTAGAGACGGGGTTTCACCATGTTGGCCAGGCTGGTCTCCAACTCCCAGCCTCAAGTGATCTGCCTGCCTTGGCCTCTCAAAGCGCTGGGATTACGGGTGTGAGCCACCACACCTGGCCCCTAAAAGGCATTTTAACCCGAAGAATGTACAAAAACAGGCCCACAGGGCTATAGTTTGCCGACTCCTGGTCTAGAAAAGCAAGAACTCAACTACCTCTGGGTTGAGTTGTCTGTTGGTTGGATGTGTCCCTAGCCTGTTTATGCCAGGTGTATTGGTCATTGTAATCATATAATTGAATTACATATTATATAAACTGATGAAATATGAGTGCATAAAGAATTGTTTCCTTGCAAACTACATTAAGTGCTTTGGAAGTAATACACAAAGAGATTTGCTGACATGTTGAATTAGGTGTGAAAGATAAACTATTAAGGG